CCGCCTCAGGTGCCAGACTGTGTGTATGTGGGGGCACCACTAGGACCCAGAATTGAGACCTTTCAAAGTTTTGGCCCAAGCGAGGGGGGAAGGGGGCGTCACTTGAGCTCCCCGCCTCAGGTGCCAAAATGTTGTGGATGGGCCCTGAGGCCTGCCCCCTCGTTGCTCCCAGCCCTGCCCGCCTGCTGCTGCAGGGCAGTGGCCGTGCTGGGTTCCACTTCGCCATCAGCCAGGTCTCTCTCTCTCCCCTCCCATTCCCAGCCCACGCAGGCCTGGGTGCTGCCCTCCATTGACTCTGTGCTGGGTGAATCCTGGGGGGGCTGGAACCTGTCTCTGGAGCGCAGGGCTCCCTGTTCTCTTCTGGCTCCGCTCCCAGCGGCCAGAGCTGAGCTCCGGGCTGGGGCGCTGCCCCGAGGAGAACAGTCAGGGGCCGGAAGCGGGCTAGCCCCAGATGCCGCAAGAGACCACGCTGCTTTGAGGAAGGGTCCATGCTGTTTATAAAAGCACATTTCAGGGCCAGAGTGCTCTGACCTGGTAGCCGTGAGCTCTGCCTACGTTGTGCTACCCGCACTGCCCTGGGGCCACTCCAGAGAAGAACCCCGCACTGGCCAGACCGTCCTTTGGCGGAGCCAGGCACTGCATGCTGCTGGGGGGCTCCCCCACGCTCCTGGGCACAAGCCCCAGTGCCCCTGGCCTGGGCAGAAATGGCCAAATGCTCTGACTGTATTGCCACAATTAACATCCTTTGCAAACCCTGAAGTGAGAGGTCAGGCTTAGTCTAACCCCCCCCCTCCCCCCCCTGCTCTGGGAACAGGCTCCCGGGGGCAGGCTGGCTGGGCACCTACCAAGCTGGCTGCAAGGGCAGCGTGGGCCTCCCAGTCAGACCAGGGTGCTGTGACGGTGCTGCCCGGGGAAGCACCAGTAACTGACCTCACCCACCCTGCTGAGCAGCCAATGGGCTGGTTTGGGGCCAGGCTCCAACCTGGAGCGGGTGGGGGCAGCGCTGCTGCGACTTCCCTTCCTGGAGCTCCCCAGGGAGTGGCTATGGGGTGGGCAGAGGGAATCGTACCAAGTGCTCAAGGTGCAGCAATGTCCCTCCGCTACACGGTACCACCCCAGTGTCTAACAGCAACACCACACCCTGGCCCTTGCCCCTTGGGTGGAGGGGAGACAGCCCATGAAGAGGATCCCTGGGGGTGAAGTGGGGGGGGGAAGTGCTCTCTGCCTCCAGCAGCCTCCACCCCCTGTCACTGGCCCAAGAAAGCCCAGCAGCCAGCTGCATTGGCAGGGCCTAGCCCAGACAGGGTCCCCAGAGTGTAAGAGTCACGGTCCTGGGCCCAAACCCCTGCCCATGTCCCTCCCTCCTATAGTACCGGAGCGAGACACAGTCCGCACCAGCAGCAGCTCAACATCACCCTCCCTGCAGCTGCCGGGCGCCTGGCTCCTTTCACACCTGCAGCCAGTGGCCAAGAGCAGTGGCTGGTGCCCTGGGGGGCCCTGGCAGCTCAGCACCACGAGCCCTGGGGCTTGCCGGCCTGAGGGGTTGGCAGGGGGCTGGACTGCTGGGCCAGACACGTGCATGGGCCTAGCAGGCACCTGTCAGTGCTAGGAAAGGGGTCCAGCCACACGCCCATGGGGTCAGCAGGGTTCCCTTCTCCTGCAAGGGCTGGGACTGCCCCCATGGGCACAGAGCCCTGCGGACGGGCTCTGCAGGACCATGCTGCCCTAGGCCACCTGCAGTGCCACCCGCTCGTGTAGGAATGCAAAGCCAGTCACTGCGCAGCCAACGGGCAGCCCATCCCCATGCCGGCCTCCGGAGCCGTGGGCATGGCTGGGCAGCTGAACCGAGCTGGGATGGAGCAGGGAGGATTAACCTGGGAATGGTGCATGGGAGTTTTACTAGTTTACTGTCTGCATTAATACGAGATGGGGATGGGAAATAAGGGGGTGACTTCACTGGGGGATGATACTTGAGGGCCAGCACGTAAAGGCTGGCGACTGCCCTCCGTAACCTGAGCCCAGGAGGGGGTGGGCAGTTCCCTGCCCGGGAAACTGGACAAAGGCTGGAGGAGGAGCAGGGGGTGAGCCGGCTGCAGGGAGTTTCAGTTTGGAGATGGCTGGGGAGATTGGGCGAGGCCCAGAACATGGGTCTGGGCTCCCCACACCCCAAGATGGCCCTGACTGAGGGGTCTTGTTCTCTGTACCTACAAGCTCTGTTCCTGTCATCTAATAAACCACCTCTTTTACTGGCTGGCTCACAGTCACGGTGAATCACAGGAAGTGGGGGGTGCAGGGCCCTGACTCCCCCACACACTGTGACACTAGCACCCCAGGAACTACTGCTAACAGACGGATAACTATCGCGCTGCCCCTAGCCTTTAAGCTCGACCTTACCTAGCACTCTGCACTACGTGGGGGCTGGACTGGGGGGACCCATTAGCCTGGCATTGTCCCTCCAACACCATCCAGTACCAGGTGTTTCAGAGGAAGGGACGAAGC